TAGTAGACTCGCCAACTTTAAGGGCATTTAAATGGTCATTGGATAAACATATGGATGATAATGGAATAGTTTAGGTTAGATGGGCTTCAGATTGGTTTCACAGGTCGGCGCAACATCGAGGGCCGAAGGGCCTGTACTGCGCTGTAATGTTCTATGTTCTACGTTCATAAATATTGCAGTGTATGGTTTAACAAATATCCAGAAATAACTTGAACTTGGAAAATGAGGAAACCACATCAGAATTTGATGATGACATCAAATGGAGAAAGGGAGCTGTTTAGAAATTGTGACTAGGACTGTGAAGGTCTCAACAAGGCCATATATATGATTAGCAGAAACAGCAGATAGGTAGAAAATGCAGTAAATTGAACAGTTTCAAGTTTGTCCTTCAGGTCAAAGATGACCACGTACTGTTTAGTAGGATCACAGTGGGCACACTGATGAATATCAAGGACAATTTGTGCTTGGAAGGCTCTGTTGCAAATAGGACAGCAAACCACACACAACTGGGTTTTGGAGGAGATTCTGCCATTTCTGCTGACACTTTCTCTATGCTTCTAAAACATGCTAGCTTTTGAAGAAGGTTGCACAAGGCACTGTGGTCCTGGGCAAGCTTTTTCCAGGACTCAGGATTGATATAAAAACTCCAAAGTGAAGCCTTCAGTGTGTCCTCATACCACGTTTGACCATTGAGAGACTCAAACTTCCATAGAATGTAAAAAAGTATCTGGTACTTTGGCTACATGATGGGTTTGATTCTATTGTGACTGCCTCAATATGATGTGGATTCTTAACATGTCAGCTTGGCTACGCACCTCAGGTGTCAGATATTTTGTCCCTCCATCTGATCTTCTGTGGACTCCAGGCAGTTTAAGTGAAAACGACTAGCTCTCTGACTGTGTACCAGCATCAGGCCAAGTCTTGTATTCATAAAGCAGAGTGGGCTAAACTATTATTCTACAGACTTTCATTCTCAGACTGATGCTTGAAATCTGAAGGCCCCAGTTGTTTTGGCAATTCTTTCATGCATCTCATCGTTAATCTGGACAGCATGACAAAGTCTGCTGCCAGCCTTTATACATGGACATGTACACTATGTTTATTTGCATAACCAAGGCCTTTAACAGTGAGGACATTTGGAATTCAATGCAGAAGTTCAGCTGCTCTGAAAAATTCAACAAAACAGTTCAACAGTTCCATAAAAGCATGTTCCCACATGTCCTGGATGACCAGTTCCCAGTCACTAATGGAATTTTTTAAAAAAATTGCATGATAGCACCAATTTTCTTCATGTTTTCTTCGACCATACCGTCTAATGTCTTCCGTGATGGTGATCATGGCATTGAAATCAGATATCAGATGAATGGTAGGTCACTCAATCCAAGACAACTACAGGCAAAAACTGAAGTCTCTAAAGACATTCTTCACGATTTCCTGTTTGCCAGTTATGCACTTGCTGCTGGTTCCAAACTGAACTTGAAATATAGCATGGACTTGTTTTCCAATGCATATGGTCATTTGGGCTTTAGAATGAGTACGAAGAAAACTGAAGTAATATACCAGCCTGCTCCAGGAAAGTCCTCTCTCAAGCTCAAGGCTTCAATCCCTGACCAGAACCTATCCACATTGAATAAGCTCACTTATCCCAGCAGGCCAGAGTACAAAAATATAAAATAATGTATTTTGGAACAAGAAAAGGGAAAGGAAATTTATTTCCAAAAGAGGAAGCATTGATAAATTTTGATTAGCAGATACATGGTCATTAAACGTGGCCAAACATGTTGAAGAAAGTATGGAATCCTTGATTTTATATTCAGAGGCAAAAACAAATGTAAGATTTCTACAGTTTAAACCAGTTGTAAAATGCTTGAAGCAACTCAAAAATTAATATAATGCTAGAAAAGAAACCTAAGTGTTTGCAATTCTAATTTCAAGAACACTTTTCAGTCTTTTCATGATTTAATTCATATCCTATTTGATTTGTCACATTAGTCCTTTATAATTCCATTTATACTGTACTTGTAAAGGAACAATAATCAACCATACAACAAAGTGATTTTATTCAAACTGTCAGGATTTGACAGACTAAAACCTTCCATTACAGGGGAATCCTAGAAAATGTCTGGCATTGTAAGCCCAATTCTTACTCTTGAAAGCGTCACTTGTATTGTCCTTAGAAATAGCACACCTACATAGAGCATTTAACAGATTTAAAATGTTATGACAGCTTTTTAAAAGTATTGGCTATACACTGCTACCAATTGCACTGTGTATGACTCATACTGTGGTTGGTTGTCATTTTAGACAAAGAGCATGTTGGGGAGGGAGGGGGAGGAGATGGAAGGTGCAGCAACCACTCTTCAATTTTGAAAAAAAGTTACATTTGAAAGTTTTAAATTGCATTTTGGTTAGAGATAAGTGTTTGGGAGAACTAAAAAGAAACCGCACCATAATATTAGCTATTTTACATATTCCCTGCATACATGTCACAGTGGTATTCCTTGTGGTAGGATTACCTCAGATATCATCTAAGAAAGAATTGTAAAGTACCATGTTAATTTGAAAAAAAATAACCATGTACATATGAATGAAATTCTCCTAACCTGTTCTTATTTCTTCACAAGCTACAATTGCATGTTTTTTCCCTGGGGTTGTGGGGGGCAGTGGTGGTAGTTGAAGTTACAAGTTTTTTTTAATATATATTTTTACATATATACACACACACACATACACACACACACACACCTGAGGGCATGTTGATGTTCCACAACTAAGAAAGAACAAGTGCCTTGTAATTTTAAGAATTCTGGAGCATCTGCACATAGCATTTCTGAGTACAAAACAAACAGTCCAAATGCTTTTGCACTATAAATGTTATTAGGATTATTTGTGTGTAGCAAAAGTGAGCCTGCAAGTGATGTGATAACATGTATCAGGTTATGTCCATGTATACATGGCCACTCAGCAACATCACCTCTAGTCTATCAAACTGCCTCGATCCTTTGCAATTCACCTATCAGCGCCACAGCTCCAAAGCAGATGCCATCTCCCTGGCCCTACACCTATTCCTAGAACATCTGCACAACAAGGATACTTGCGTCAGACGCCTACTTATTGACGACAGTTCTACCTTCAACACCATAATTCCAAATAAACTCACGTCTAATCTCTGAGGCCTAGGTCTCAACTCCCCAATCTGTAACTGGATCCTTGACTTCCTGATCCATAGACCACAATCAGTTAAAATAGGTGACAAACACCTCCTCCACCATAATCCTCAACGTGACATGTGTGCAGGGAATATGTAAAATAGCTAATAATATGGTGCCATTTCTTTTAGTTCTCCCAAATATATATCTCTAACCAAAACGCATTTTAAAACTTTCAAATGTAACTTTTTTTCCCCAAAGTTAATACTATAAAGAGTGGTTGCTGTACTCAGCCTTCTACTATACTCCTTATGCACTCATGACTGGGTGTCCAAATTCCACCCCAACTCCATTTACAAGCTTGCTGATGACACCACCACTGTAGGTCGGATCTCAAACAACAAGACAGGACACAGGAAACAGATTAAGTGTTTAACAGCATTATGTAGAGACAACAATTTCTCCATCAACATCAGCAAAATGAAGGAGCTGGTCAATGACTTCAGGAAACAGAGTGGAGGGCACACCCCTATCTACAATGATGCGGACGTGGAGATGGTTGACAGCAGCAAGTACCTGGGAGTGATGATTGCCAATAATCTATCCTGGTTCACCCCCTTCGAACCAACAGTCAAGAAAGCTCAACGTCGTCTGTACTTCCTCAGGGGGCTAACGAAATTTGGCATGTCCACAAGGATTCTTAACAATTTTTATAGATACACTATTGAAAGCACCCTACCTGGAATCATCACTGAATGGTATGGCAACTGCTCTTCCCAAGACTGCAAGAAACTACAGAGTTGCGAACACAACCCAGTCCATCACGCAAACCAGCCTTTTATCTATTGACTCTATCTATACTTCACACTGGCTCAGGAAAGCAACCAAAATAATCAAAGACCCCTCCCAACCCAGTTATACTCTTTTCCATCCTCCTCCATCCAGCAGATGATATAAAAGTTTGAATACACGTACAAACAGATTCAAGAACAGCTTCTTCCCCACTGTTATCAGACTTTCGAACGGACCTCTCAAATGTTAATTCTGATCGCTCTCTTTGCACTTTCTATGCGGGTATAACACTGTATTCTGCACTCTGTTCTGCTCCTCTGGTGCACTTTGTATGGTATCATCTGTCTGTAGGCTACGCAAAACCATACTTTCCACTGCATCTTGGTACATGTGACATCAATAAATTAATCAATCACATTCTGAAGTGTCTAGGATGGCTGTCTCTACGGCATCAGACAGTCAAAATAAATTTGCAAGTGAAGAATTGTTCCAATTGACATTTCACATCTTTTAAATGTCTATTTTTCACTGGTTTCTACTAATCTAGTTCCAATTTATATCAGTATATGATTGCTAGATATTGGTTTGATTCATAAAAATGGACAAGTGAGGTAACCAAAAACGTCAATACTTTAAATTGAGTTTTCATTGATATAGTACAAAAAAAGAACCTAAGCTGATGAACTATTCAAACAACTTGTAGAATTCACCAGAAATTGTTCCTCTGGTTTAAGAAGCAGAAAACAGAAAGAGCATAAAATAGTTTCAAAATGGATGTGCAGTATAACATCAAGCTTTAAAAGACAGAAAGGAATGTCTACATTTCTGAGTAAGTGTCAGCAGAGAATAAAGGTCAGCATTTAATTCCAATCAAAATCAGAAACTTATTGAAACTTTAAGAGCAAATAAAAAAAGAACCATATCAAACATAATCAGTACAAGTGTTTGTTCATCCCCATTACCTCTAGAGAATGATTTCAATACTCTCCAAACCTACCTCTTATCTTCCACTCTCCACAACTCAAATTCACGCAAAATTCTGCCTAACTTTCATGAGTTCAGCTCATCCATCACCCCACGCTCACGCCTTCGCTCACTGACACCAAACCCTCCAACCCCATCTGCGTCAATTTTAAAATTTGCATACTTGTTTTCAAAAACTTTTACACCTCAATTTATCTGTAGACTCTTGCTACAAAGATCACAGGTCTCTCTGTCCCCCTGGATTCTCATCTATTCCTTATTTTAGCCGTGGATGCTGTATGTTCAACCTTCTAAGGCTAAATGTTTGGGACTCCCTACCTAAATGTTTTCACCCCTCTTGTTCTCCCTTCTCCTGGAAAACACTGATTAATATCTTTATCATTGACTGAGCTTTTGCTCACCTGTCCTAATAATTCTATGTGGCTCATTGTCACAAAAGGTCATGCAAGGCACTTTCAGATGTTTTACTATATTAAAATTGCTATATAAATGCAAGTTGCTGATGTAAAATACACTAAAATGTTTAAGACTGAACTCTAAATTTTGAAAAGAACGCCAAATTTGAATCCTATTGCTTGAATGATTCCATAGATAAGTTAATCTTAAAACTACAACTAATTATAGTGCCTTTGGAAATCAAGTGCTAGAAAACGAAGTCTTTCTACTCCTACTTTTGTTGCTTTTTGTGTTCTTCAGTGAAATGGCCAAGCATACGGCTACGTGACTATGGAATTTTACGATGAGAAAATATGTATTCAAAGTAATCCTTACAATCTAATATTTTGAGTTGAATAATTGAAATAGGCCAAAGATAACATGAATCAAATTTCAACAATTAACAAATTTACGTTTCTATTCTGAATTTCTAAAAATCTCATGATTTCATTTGATATATCATGAGAACATTTATTCAGCAGTCATCACTTTATATTCAAAATCTAATGTCGCCATATGAAGTTACCATAGTGTGAGAGACAGTACGGAAAAAAACAATCTCTCTTCATTCCTCCTTTACTGTGAAGCCAACAAGAAATGTGCTCTAGATTCACAGTGATTCAATAGGTAAATTAGTGCTTTATAGAACAGGGAGGTCTCAGTTTCGAGACCTCTAATTTAAAAAAAAATCACAGCCAGAGCATTTCTGGCCTCAGCATCCATTGGTTAGGGAAGGAAAAACTAAATCAGTCTGGGCTTTTGCTTTAATTGTTATCCACAGGTCTGTGCTGGAACAGGTAAAGATATAACATATTTAACATTATTCATTATTAAAAATGTTCATGGTATAAGTGACATAATGGCTGATGATTATATTCTGTTTTCCAGAGACAGAATTCTTTCCTGAGCTTTAGATGCAACAGTTTTTTTTTGTGTGGAAATTAATTGCAGGTATTTCTAATGGTAAACTATCAATTTTAGGGTTAATTCTAACTATTTTAGCTAAAATTATTTCAGTAAATTGAGAAGATAGCTTCATAAGCAAATAACTTTTCAATACAAGTGTTCATCAAGATTACCACACAATTACATTTTTCCAATATTGCAACTGGTCTGACTACAACATAATCTTTTTTCTGATTACATAAAGTCTATAGCCTACATGCACATTGAAATTAAGAGCAGTTTTTCATTCTAAACACCCAATTTTTGACATTGAACAGGTCAGATGTAGCACAACTCTTAGAGTCATAGAGAGTCAGAGTCATACAGCACGGAAACAGACCCTTCATCTGTTATATTATGTGGTCCAACTTGTCCATGCTGACGTCACAAACACATATGTTTGAATCTGAGAAAAACATCCTCGATCCACAATTCCCATTTAACAACTGCAACCAATACCGAGGCCTTCCTGAACAAAACTAACAAGATTGGCAATTTTATTGCAAATTATTTGTACTGTGTCGCCATGCTGATAGAAGCTACCTTCAGAGTCTCCTTTCAGTTTTTAGCGAGAAGTGTATTTCCATTACATTCTGGTTCTGATTCAGTCAGTTAGTGCTAAAACTAAATAGGTTACTCAGCCTCCCTAAAAAAAAAAATATAAAAAACGGTTCCACCACGTCCCAACATCAACTCCCATGCCATGCCATGGAGATTAATGCAAGAGAAATTTTCTTAAATGTTCCCAAAAGGGTTTCAAATAACTGATCGTGTGAAGAACCACCAAGGAAGAGTCCATACCTGCATTTCTTTATCTCCATATTTCTGTGGATTCTTACTCCCATGGCTCTTTCTCCGAAGTTTCTTCAGTTCTGCATGGCACTTTTCCAACGACTCTAGCCTGGCTTTATGTTCAGCTTGATACTTCTTCAACGTTGCCTAAAAGGAAAAATGCAAGTAAATTAACAAAATCATAAATGGTGAAAATAGTACATATTTGTCTTTGTTGTTAATACAGGAAAGGAAATGAAGAAAAAAGGCAAGATTTTATTAAGCAGAGAAAAATAAGTCAAGGCATAATTATGGTATAGATTTCTAACTGCTAGTGCTGTGATTCAGTTCCTAATGGCTTCTGACAACTTATATATTATAACATTTATCATTTCATGTCAAGCATTAAGGTATGCAGGTGAGAACATGTTCAGGTTTTCTAAAACAGAAAAAAATACATGATACGGCTTTTGTCTCCCAATAAAAGAAGCTGCATTTGGTTCTACTGTCCACTATTCAGTAAGGTTTGAATATAGCTAAAGATAGGAGACTTAAGGAATAGTGCTAAGACCACCCTTTGGAGCACATTGGGATTATATGCTATATAAATACAAGTACTTGTTGCTTAGGCCAGCAGGTCCATGTCACGAGTATTGCGTTTCAGGTAGTGAATATTAAAAACATACAAACTGTCCCCTAAAAAAAAAAAAAACTATCTGCTGAAAGCTGACTAATTCCTCAAGACACATGAGTTTGTAATGTGAATTTATGAAGTTCTGAGAGACCATATAAAGTGACTGGCAGCAAACAAAGACTGTCTCAAGCAATCTATTAACTGACCAACAATTTTCATAGAACTGCTTTTGTAACTTGGAACCATGACTTGTAGTGTTTATCATGACATCTGAATGTTTCTCCTCAGATCAGACCCATTGACAACAACATCCCTCTTCATTGTCATCCAACTGGATGAAACTGACTTCACCTGGTTTCATTCTTGTCAATCTAGTTGTAGCCAACGAATCCCTTGCAGTGGTTTCTCTTCCTGCTCTTGTACCACTGCCTCAAGAGTCCTTGGTCCCCTCCCATTTGGGGCAGCACGGTGGCTCAGTGGTTAGCACCACTGCCTCATAGCGCCAGGGGCCCAGGTTCGATTCCACCCATTGTGCAAACTCCACACAGACAGACAGTTGCCCATTCTCCCCGTATCTACAGTCCAAAGATGTGCAGGCTAGGTGGATTGGCCATGCTAAATTGCCCATAGTGTTCAAAGGATGTGTAGATTAGGTGGGTTATAGGAGGATGGGTCTGGGTCTGGATGGGATGCTCCGAGGGTCGGTGTGGACTTTTTGGGCTGAAGGGCCTGTTTCTACACTGTAGAGATTCTAAGATTTTTTCATTGACGTGATGCCCTTCGATCACATTGAGCCAAAAGGGACAGCATTAATTTTGACACATTGTCTGATGGCACCCAGTTCTTCCTCAGAACCACCTCTCTTGATTCCTCCACTGTTGTTTCTAGACTTGACCATTCCATAATATTCCTGGCTGGTCTTTTGCCATGTTTTACCCTCTGTAAACTGGAGGCGATCCAAAACATGGTTGCCTGTATCTTAATCCATCACACTCATGTTCGCTGACCTACACTGGTTCCTGGTCAAGAAAGAACTGGGTTTTTAAATATCTGACTGTTTTTCCAAATCTTCCAGGTCCTTATCCCTCCTGATCTCTGTAGTCTCTTCCAGTCCGCAAATCCTCAGATACCTGCACTCCTCTAATTCTGACCTTTGGTGCATTCCTAGTTTTAATCATTTGTGGTCAAACCCTCAGTTGCCTAGGTCCCAAACTCTGGAAGATCTTCCCTGCATCTCTCCCTTATCTACTTTACTTTCCTCTTAAAATACTCATTAAAATTTACCTCCCTGATCTAGTTTTTGATAATCTGACAATGTCTCCTTGTGGGCTCAGACTGCTGTGAAGCACTTTAGGCAGTTTACTACATTGAAGCTGCTATATAAAGAAATGCTGTTGGTGTTAGTGAATAATATACTAGTTTATAAGCTGAATTCAACAGAAAAAGCTACAGCAATAGAATTGCATGAAATAACATTGCTGCATCAGCAACTCTGTCCTGTGTAAAATTTAATTAACATGTATAAAGTTCATCGCTACAGTGACATTGTAATAGATGACAGAATGTCTGTAGCATCTGCTGATGGCAACTACTGTGGTGGAATATCTTCTCCAAAAAGCCAATATGGAGATCTAAACCAGAACTTTCAGAAGACATTCCAGGAACCAAGTCTGCCTGAAAATCATCCCAACCCTGTGCTTTTTGAACCACCACCTTTTCCTAATAAATGAGAGGTGGATAGGAACAATTTCAAAGCTGTAATTCAACCCTCAAGTTCCTAACACTTACTTACAATCTGAATCCTATCAGATTACAAAGTTGTAATCAATTCATGCTCTGCTTACTTCACATTTGAAAATATACAGTTTTTTTCTTGCTGCAATATTACATGATAAAAAGTAAACAGAAAGATTAACGAGTTTATTAATCAAGAGATGTGACGCTGTAGAATTCAGCCTGAAAAACTTACACTTAAGTATTTAGCATCTAACTCAACCTTCTGTTCCAGTTGCATCAGCAGATCATTGTGGAACACTTTCAACTGCAATGAAAAGAAAACGTCAGCAACATTTAATTTCAATAATGTCAAGAGTAGAAGAAACCCCCTGAACACCTACACACGTTCTCACACACACCCACGATGCAGAAGCACTGATTGTACCTTGGATCCTCAGATTAGTCATGTGCAAGTGATGCTTCCCTCCTCCATAAGTTCAGCTCTTTGAAAGCTATAATTTTACTCCCCACCCCCAACACATAACACATTCTCTCTTCACTAATTAACTTGGACTTTTATCCTAAAAGCATGCATGTTACAGTTCAGTTTTGTCTTCTTTTCCCCCCTCAGTCAAGAATTCCATTTTCTCTATTGATGAAAAATCTTAAAAAGGCAAAGATGACAATTTTGATTTTTATTTTGAATAAAACTGCTCTGCAGCAGTTTAGATTTTAATTTGCGGGCTAAATGTCAACACGATTTAAATGCAGTGTATAATCTGCCAAAAGTATATTCGTTTGTAGCTATTTCAGTTTTAAAAGTATTCCTGAGAAGGGGATAAACAAACAGTACTTAATTTATATAAATCTCTCGACAGAAACGTTTGCTCATCACATACAAGCTCTCACAAATCCAACAGTGTACGTATACTGCCTTAAAAGGAATACATACCATTTCTTCAAGCTGTATCTGAATTTGTCTGTGGACCTCTGCCATCTGGAACAAAACATCCCCTGCAAAATAAAGAACGGAAACTAGAATAACTATTTCCATCATTTTAGAATGTTAAGCACAGCATCGCACAACATATGGGCAAAATGATTAAGGCAGTTAGGATACAAAAAATTTGCCTCGTCAAACAATGCCAAACAAAAGTCTCACAAAAAACATTGCTCTGAATTCCTTATTTTTAAAGCATACACAGTTTTGTCACTCATTTGTATTATTTCTCCAATTGAGGATACAGTGGCATAATGGTACTGTCACTATAGTAGGAATCCAGATATTACTACTCTGGGGACAAGAGTTCAAATCTCCCAACAGCTGTTGCAATACAACTTTAGTTAATGAATATGGAATTAAAAACGTTTTTACAACAGTTAATGATGTTTCACGGTAACCATTACTGAGGATAACTATTTATTTCCAGATTTAATTATTAACTGAGCTTCAATTCCACAAGCTGTGATGGAGGAATTTTAACTTATGACCCCAAAGCATGAGCTTGAGCCTCTAGATTGCAAGTCCAGTGACGTCACCATTATGTGACTGTTTCTCCTAAATTACTTAACTGTCTTGAAATCACCTAGTAAGTCACTTGCCTCAAGGGCAATTAGGAATGGCCTTGCTCCTGACATTCATTTTTAAAAATTGTTTTGTGCGATATAAATATATGGCTGTTACCCTCGCTTAAGAAGTTACTGCGCATAGCCTTCAAACATAACCAAAAACACTAATTGACTCACTAAGAGATAGGAATTTTGCATTTGGAAAGCTGATGATGTTGTGAATGAAAACCTGTAACTTAGAATGCTCAGACATGTTCAAAACTAACATAGAGCCTCCTCTATTTGGGAAAGCAAGGGAAGAATCAGTCTTTATTACAGCATTTGCAACACCATATGGAACAGAATGCAGCACTGCAAACACGAACCAAAAGCGCAAACTTACGAGCATTTTAAATTACGCAAACAATCTAATTTTTAGGACTTTATTTTGCTTTACAGAAGTGCTACTCCACGAGATTTTTAACGGTACTTTTATCATCAATATGCTGGAAGCCAGATGAAAAAAATGTGAGTGATGAAGTAAGACACACCTTTGACATGTGATCCAGGAAGTCAAAGCTGGATTGTAAAAGTGAGGAAGTAACTACTTAACTGCACCTACAAAATGTATAAATTAATATTCAAAAGGCCAGTGGCATAAATATGGTAGTTCATGGTGGCCGAGTAACTTAGGTCCTAGAGTTTATCATATTCTAATGTGCAAGAAAGCACATATTGCAGCCTTATTCAATTGTATTCAAATAAATAGTAATTTGCTTGCAATGATTTTGTATTATGCAAGTGGAAATTACAGCTAGTTCTCCTTCAGTGAGCAACACTTTCCAAAATGGATTTGCACATAGCTGTAACAAAGACCAACATTTTATTATCACCCTGCACATTCTCATCTCCCACCACTCACCCGTCACCACCACCCTCCCAACCCACCACCTATGCCTTCCTGAAAGGTTTCCAGTATTCAATATTTGAGGTGGGTGCAGTGAGCCATGAGTTTTCAAGGTTCAGTGCATCACCTTGGGAGCAAAGTCCGTGCCATTGTATCTATTCAGTGTATTCAATACACTTGTGTCATGCCACCAAGCAGCACAGAATATAAATGCAAGAATACATGGAGCTGGCTCTGCATCAAAAATTTAAACCTTTAAAACACATTGTAAGCAGATTTAAAATATGTATTGCTATATTCTAGCACAAATATACTTGAACTACTTTTTTTGAGAGCATCTCTGCACTTCCATTTGCCAAGCAATTGTGAACACACAAACTTGATGTGGAATCTGAAA